ACTCAGTAGTAGCCGCAGAGACCAAAAATAACCGGAGGTCTCGTAAACTCCGAGGATGCTGCCGGCGAGCCTCGTTTAAACGGAAACGCAGGCAGCCAACTGAGAATTCCCTTGTGTGAGGGGCGTAAACCAAGGCTGGCCCTTGCGAGGTTTAATTTCTATGGGAACCGTGGTGGGGGGTGTCAGCCTCAACTATTTAACGCGGGCCATCTGCGCCGGGCGCGTTCTGCAATTACGCCCTTTGCTTTATCGGGCGGTGCAATCTCTCTGTACGTGTGTACAAAGGGTGTAGAGTGTGGGCGAGATGTCCCGGTTAGAGTAAGGGCCCATTTGACTTAATCTCACGTGCTGTAGGCACACGGTCGCCACGATTCCGGGTTTTTAAATTTTGGCGTCAGGACCATGTGACTGGTAATTTTTGTCACGGGACCGAGGTTTTCCGTATAGCGCGTAATGCACGCGTGGCTTTGTATTTTCCTGCGGTAAAAGCAGTGTTCTGAAAGGAAAAGTGTTGCCGGAGTGTTTTTAAATATTAGCATTAATGTCTATTGTAAACTTGTAACATAATCTTTAATATATTTATTTTTCTTTTGTTATTGAAATTTATTTCTTATCTTCACTAGTCTTACACTATGTATCTTTTAAACGTGAAGTGAATCGCGCGCCCGTTCCGAGCCCTTTTGTGAGGGAACTTTCTACTTCGGCATTCACGTATTCATTCGGTCTCATTTCAACTTGTTCCAAAACTCTCACCGATGCGGTAATGTGTTTAGCACATGCGATCCTCTTGCTCATCTGCCTTCGCTTCTAGCACATCGATCTCTTGCTTTTACGCCTTTCTGCGCTCGGCTCTGCTGCTCCGCTCGCTTGCTCACTCCACCTCACTCTTCCATCTTACTTTTTCATTTTTCTCTTCGCCTCCCGCCCTCACTTAACATTTTCTTACTCTCGTATACGCTTTTCGCTATTCTTCTTTACTCTTATTAACTCTTTATCCGCTTTCCTCTATCCTCTTCTCTTTTTCCTCATCTCCTTTCCTAAACCTTCCCTAACTCTAATATTTTCCTGTCCCACGCCCCCCCCGGTTCCCCCCCCCCCCGCCTTTCTTTCTTTCTACTTGTTTTCTGCTTACCTTCCCACGTTCTTTCTCCTGTCTCATGTTCAAATTCGCGCTGTTTCCGGTTTGTTTCCAGTGTCTGCTGGTTGTGTGCAATATAGAACCTCATATTATTACAGCACGTCGATGCCCTTTAATTTCGTTATATTTTTTCGGTGTTGGGCAGATGGGATTATAAAAATTTAATCGGCAGTAAACAATAAACCATGAAAATACTTATCTCACTGTACAGTAGACACTGTCTGTCAGTATGAAATCTGTAGGCGAACCTTGTTACAAATTTCCTCCCAATTTTATACCCCCACTATTAAGGTACTCTCTGGATTTATTTAACTTCCTGAGATATTTATCATATTAGAACTTGTTCGCGGTACAAAAATAATTTCCCTCTTCGCGAGATAAAGTGCGACAATTAATTTCAATCTCTTCAGTTAACCATTAATTGCCGATAGAAGTGTTTTTTTTTTCGTATTTAAGGTATTCGTAGGCGGAGGTACTTTGCAAGAGGAAGCGCGGTCGGCACCTTTCCGTACGGCCAAACGAAAGCGAGGAGCAATCCCTGCCTAATTAGCTCAGCCGCAAGAATTCACCGCTTCGTCTCCCTTCTGCATCTGCGCCGTGTGGAAAGATTCATACAACGTCCCTTAAATATCGTCCTAATTTCACTCGCTAAAGGCGAGAAAAAGGCCAAGCCATTTACAACATCTAACCGGTACGCTGATGTTTCTCTTTCCTTCCCTCTAAGAAATGAAAAACGTTTCTTTTAAACAACGTTTTGTCTCTTCTCTTTCTCGTTTTCTGCGGGAACTCGCCATTTCCTTTGTCTCGCTTCTGTTCTCTTTCACTTCTTCTCTCCTCTGCGAAGGCGGAGGCGGAGGCTACGCAGTTCTTTCAAAACCGCCCCATCATCAGCCATTTTGTCGCACGGCTCACGACTTTCTTCGCTCCGGCGTGTGAAAGGAAGCTGTGTGTAAGGGGCTATTTCGTAGGTAATCTACTGAAGAATATTGAAAACGCTTACCTGCATTTATATTAAATGACTATTACTATACTCCACGTTAATCGCTTTCGTATCCCAACCTATATTTCGGAAGAATTACCTACTTAATCAATCCGTTACCTATCTCCGGCAGTGTTAAGATATTGTGTAGTTAAAATGGGCATAACCAGAGGCCCACTGGTGTTTTTTCTACGACACGCGAGTGTCACACGGGAAATAGTATGAACACAGACCCGAAATTATAACTGATATTTTGATTTCCACATATGTTCATAGAAGTCTCGAGAATTTCTGACTTCGCGTAGTGATAGAAAAGTTGACTAATTGGGTCGTTAAGTGTGATGTCAATTAATAAGGGTCTGCTGACGCCGGGGCGGCTACTAATGTTTCGCGTGATACTCCATCTACATAAACGAGCAGCAATCTGATTCTGCTCTATTTCACACCAAGACCAAGAAATTCATTTTAACGAGAATGTTTGTGTTACGTGCAACTTATAGCAGCACCAAAGGTGATTTAATAGGGTAGTTATTTGTCGGTAGTGAAAGTAATGTGGTTGAACACTGCACCCATCAAAAGTGGAAGGTTACTGTCTAACGCAGCTCTTTTCTCTCTAACGCAGTAATTTATACATTCACGTGAGTATAATCACTGTTCTTAGCCCGCACTTTTGTTGTTCTTTTAATACCTTATAAAACGTCACTGCATTTCGCTGCACACCATAGCACCCTACACTTGTACTCTCGAGGAAGCTCGAGCGCATAAGTGCGTGCTCCTTGGATGAGCCACAACAATCCTGCAGGTAGTTTGTTCCCAGTAAACAGTGGTCCTATTTACATTACTGCATTTCCCTATATTCGTTCTTTTTCTGCATTTTATTTTCTACGTACGGTCTACTTAATAACTCTACATTTCAAGACCTCTACTGATGGCTTTCTTTAGCGGTTGTTTTGTGTACGCCTTGACGATCGTACACAGTCGTGCTGCCTTTGTACTTATAACTAATGATTCGCAATTGACATTCGTCCCTATTTTTCTTTTCGCAATTTCATTAATCCGCTTCATTCTGCAGTCGCTTTAATGCTTGAATCTGACCTTTCCTATGTATACTCCCGCAGGCTACTTCGTATTCCATTATGATATGAACAAAGAAGGTGTTTGTGTATAAAAGGAGTTTTCCAAGCTTTCTATGTAAAATATATAACGTGATCAGCCAAGCTGAGGTGGTTTTGAATTATTGCGACCATATATTTACAACCACGTGCCTCAGAAATTATATTTCTACCCATTGTATAATGGAGAGTTTCCTGTGTTCGAACCGACGTAAAACGCATTGTTTTACTTTTATCTGAATTTATTTTCATTCCATTTTCCTGGAACCAATTCGTGAAAATGTTTTGAATTTGATCAATGTCGGATTTGTGTACCGTTTTTCCATACACGAAGCACTCGTCCATTAAACGTCTGACTGTCAAACGGATTTGGGCACACGTGTCATTAATATAAACACGAGAAAGAGGCGACCCCAACACGCTTCCGTGAGGGACGCCTGATGTTTCATTAACGTCCTCGGATAGAAAGTCATTAATTCCAACTCGCTGTGTCCGACCACGTAGAAACTCCCTTATCCAAATGTTTACTGGCTACTCTAATTCCGATTCGATAATTTTATTAAGTTGTTAGTTGTGAGGAACAAAATCAAGGGCTTTAGAAAAGTCTATAACTATTACAAAATGTGTTTCTTCTTCATCGAGTGAATTGTTTATGTCTTGACAAAAGGCAGCTAGCTGACATTCGAACAAATAGCTTGGTCTAAATCGCGTTTGTGTTCAACAACGACAGGCATTTTTGAGAAAATTTTGAAAATGTAATTGAAGTATCATGCAGTGTATCCCCAAAATTCAAAATATATGTTTAAACTCGCTAGTCCGCGAGTTCCTTCAGATCGATTGGAGAATATGGGTTTTGGAAAAAATGTGAATGGTTTAGGCGCTGGCGTTAACCACAAACAGACGGCTAGAAACAAGCGGCTGGACGGAGAGAAGTTTAGCTGTCAATCAACTTTTCGGTATCGACGACTTACAAGTCGTCACTTCTGACTAGAGAACGTGTTAAAACTCGTTGCACTACAAGGTCACGATCTGGAAGGATAGGGGGCCGTTGTCATCCAATCGGGAGCTCCAATAGTAAAAATTTAATCGCGTGTGTCATTCGTTGCACCGAAACCCACCCTACTACAGGGCAAAAACGTTTTTGCTTACGCACCAATCTAAACATCAGCCTAGGCAGTTTTCCCTCCAGGTATCTCCCACAGCAGGGCACCGCCTCAACCGGGACAAAGTTAAAAAATTTCCGACTGATCTCCCGACACGTCTGGTAGAGTAGTGCAAATAAGTGTGAATGTTTATGTAAAGGGAGAGAGGAGCAAGGATAAGGATGAAAATATCCCGATATGTTACGTGGCCCATTTGTTAGGGAACCTCTCTAGCGTTTGCCTGGTATTGATCTGAAGCACGACGGAAATCTACCAATCAGAGGAACCGGTCATAGAATTCTCCTTTGGACGCAAGTGTGAGAAATCCCTCCCTGCTGGAACTGACGTTAGGACCTCACGTTTAACAATGCTTTTGAGGCAACGGTGTTGCCACTGAGCTATTGTAGCCGATTCATGAAGTCGTGGGAACGAATAACTATCGGTGTCCTACTTTACAATAATGAAATTCAAATATTGAAATAAATGTAGCTTCAAATTAACTTCTCCCCATACTACGTCATACACAGTTTTAACTGCTTTTGACGTAAATAAATAAATAAAATTCAAATATCCGGGATACAAAGGTTCCTTTTAAGTCACTGGCCGTCCAGCATTTCTCTTGCCCCATATTAACTCAACACACCCGAAAATGCCTGCTGTCTCAGTAGTTCTTGTCCGTTCTTGATATTTGCCCCATAATCCGATGCTTCCAGAAGACCTATGGGCAACACCGTGTGAGAAAAGAGATTTAATTTCAATTGAGTAATACTAGGTGGCAGTGATTTAGATTATTATTAATAATATTATTATAAAATAACTTAATACTACCCAAAGGAAAACGGCACCGCACGGCGATATACGACAGCTATACAATATCGTACAGCTCAGCTTTCCACAAGACTACACTGAATTTCAATGCGCTTCCTGGCCCCACGCTTCAACGCTCTTCGTAAAATCTCACTGAACTGCACTTTGCGTTTATTAACTTTTTACTAACTGCATAACTTTCTAGTTTCTACATCAATTTTTACTAAACTAATTTTGACTTAGTTCTAAAAATGATACTGCAGGAAAGTTTTTAAAATTCTTGGAGGCAAACTGTTCCAATCTCAGAAAGTTTTATTGATAAATGAAAATTTCCCCGCGTGTGTTCTTTGCTTTTTGTTTGATTTTATTTTTTATCGTCCCGTTTACCAAAGTGTGTAGGTTTCTATCATCTAATCTGAATATTCTGGCAAGCCGATTGACGATTGACCTAAGTACAATTTATACAAATTGCAAAACCTCTCTTTCGTTTTTCTTGGATCTCAACACTTTTTAAATACGTCTTACCCTACATAATTTGGAATCTTCCTCTTCAATCCTTTCCAGATTCCTTTGTGGGTAATTCTACACAGAATCCAACACGTCACTCGGTGTTCCTCAACAGATCGTACAAGAAGACAACACTTTCGCGTTTGCCGTTCATTTCTTTCATGCTCGCGTTACAGAATGCAACAATTTCAACGTCTGTCTCATCGCAGAAAGAAGAACGTACACAGTCCTCGCTCTGGACGTCCGTCGCGGACTGAGCTGGCGGAACGGACGGTTTATGGGCGACGTGGGGGCGGGAGAACAAGTGGTCGAGAAGCGAGCGGTCGCGGGGCGGCGGGAAGGGCGGAGGGGCGGAGGTCGACGCCGCAGCCACCCACGCAGAGGCGCCAGCGACGGCGCTGCGCCGTCCGTCCGTCCGTCCGTCTGTCTGTGCGTCCGTCGGGGCGCCGGGCGCGTTTACAAGGCGTCCGTGTAGCCGCCGTCCTCCGCTCTCCCCTCTCCCTGTTCACGTGGCCTCGCCCATCCGGGTTTTCTTGCGTGAAGGCGCCAGGAGCGTCCTAGCTTCGCACATTCAGTTTCTCTGAGCGAAGGATGTGTGTAACAAACGCGAGCTTAAATGAAACAATGGTATGAGACACGTATTACGATTAAATAGACTTAAATACAGAAAACATGTAAATGTAATGACCCGGAATGGTGAGACCGTTCGCTCGTGGCGATGTTGATAAAAAAAATTTATATTCGTCAATACATGAAAAACAGAACACCAAATTGTATGGGAGCGCAGTCGCATCGGATGTAGTAATAAGATTTTTCGCATTTCGTGGATATCTCCTGGAACTAAGAAATACTTATACTGTCATAATACAGAAAATATGATCTCTTTATTATGATCTCTATGGTACTCGACCACTGATTGAGTTTATTTTGTGCATTTTTTTCTTATTCCATGAGTCGATCAATTGATATGAATCATGACCTTAATTGTAGTTTCTCAGAACACACAAAAAATACTTCACTACGTAAAATATATAGTGGATACTCTTGGTTCCTTAGCAATCATCATTCAAATATTTCATTACAAACATTATTTACCTACTGGATGTGAACGGAGAATACGTGAAAAATATACGTATAACAGCTTCATTAAATATTTGGTGGTAATTAATAATTGAAAACCCCACTATATATTTCTCAAGTAGTCAACATTAAACATGTAGTAAGTATTTTACTTTTAAACTGTAGAATCCTAGAAGTGAAAAAAATAAAATATATTATAATTTGTTCTTTGACATTAAGAGAACTATATTTCACCTTATATGAATTACACCCGTGATGTTAAAAACAGTTAGTCCTCGACCTTTGGTTTGAAAGCTCAACACTACCTTGGCCGACCAGCGGTGGCCAGCCTCTTGACCATGAAATAAGGGGTTCGTGTGGTTAAGCACGAAGACACCCCTCCGCCGTATATAAAAGCAGTAACCGTTTAAATACATAATCAGCGAGATTCAAATTCGTCATCACGGACCCCAAAATAACGAGGAATCAACTGTAAGGTAGTAGAACTGACAACTCAATTTCGCACAAAACATAATTCTGCATCTCGAGCTCAGAATCACTCTTTTTCACGTGTGCCTACCAATAAAAGCCGGGTTGCTTGGCACTTCCGTAAGCAGAGAAATCTCTTTCGTCAATGTAGATCGATGGATTCACAAGGGACCCGCGACTTCGTCTTCCCGCTATAACACCGCTGTTATTCGGTTCTAACGAAGGCATCTCGAGCTCACAATCACTCTTTTTCACAACCGCAGAAGCCAACAGCTATCAAATGTTTCCTCGTGAAACTCGGAAATGTTCAATGAAATATTTATATACAAATAAAAAGAAATGTGTATAGGTCTGTCGCAAATACACGCAAAAAAGTACTCGACCGATTTCGCTAAAATTTTCACTTTTTGTTCTAATCGTGAGTAATTAGAGAGTGGTTTCAATTAAATCGGACATATGGTGGTGTTGTTTTTCCAAATTTAGTCGACCAGGTAGGCTCTGCGCCGTTCGCAGAGAAGTTCTCTTTAAGTGCTATCTATGGATTTGTTTTTGAACTACACGCCTCGCTTCGACTCTTAATAATGAATAACCTGGAAGTTGCATTATAGAAAGCAGGAAGTATGAACCAAAAGTTAGCGGCGCACAGCTTTATTCTAATATTGTGTTTTTAAAGTGGGTTGCAAAATAGTAAAATATAGTTAATATGTAGATAATCTTTACTGAAGAAAATGAACTTGGGTTTCATTTATTTAATACACTGAAACAGCAAAGCATTGCCGGGTTCCCTAGTATGGAATAAATTAAAGAATACGACGTAGTTAAATGGGCAGCGTAAATCAAAAAACGGAGAAGATACTCCAAAGAGACCTCGAAGAACATATAATAGATCACGTCTTGAATGAAATAAATGTGTATAATCTAAATACAACATCATAATTCATATGCAGGATGAGACATTATACCAGAAAAAAATTATATAATTGAAATTACTAAACGAAAAGTATTAGATACGCATAAAAATGCGCAATAAATTCATAAACATGGAAATAAAATTTCAAATTGTGCTCCTTCATTCCATTTGTTTATTTTTGAAGAATTCACAATACTCGAAAACTATAATCTTAATATTTTCTTGACAAAAGTGGCTATTCACCCATAAATAGAGTTGTTACCGTCTGGAAAAAAGAAAAGGTGGGCAACCTTTACATACTTGGACAGAAAATATTCTACAAAACTTGAAATAAAAGAAATTGTACGACACAGATTTCGGCACACTGAATAAATTAATCGACTCGCAAGCAGCCACCAGCTCTGAGAGTTTTAGAAATCATCGTATCCGTGTAGTTTTTCTTGGTAAGTGGTGGATTTGTGTTAATACATTTGTGTAAAAAAACACGCCATGTAGAAACAAAATTCTTTCAGACGTCAACAGGACAATCGAAATATTTTCCCGAAACGTCGACCACGCATAATCGTTCTTTCACTCAATTGTATTAATTAGGGATTCATAGAAAGTTTTATTCTATCTGAATAATAATAATAATAATAATAATAATAATAATAATAATAATAATAATAATAATAGAAATAATAATACAAATTATTACAATACCAACAGTATAATTTCAAGAGAATAACATGAAATGATGCTTCTTTTAGACTTTTCAATAATATAAGAATTGTCATAATATGCATAGGACAAAATACTGAATTTTTCTGCAAAATGCTTTTTCACGGTCCAAATTGAAGTATCCGCGAATGCATAGTAATACATTTTCTTATTCTTCTTTGGAAGGTTTCGTGAAATTTCGACTGAACATCTCGTAAGACGATAGTTGTTCTGCTCTTGGCTACCAGTTTACCTGTCATCGTGTGTAGTTTAGAGTTCGCTTAACGCAAATAAATAAATAAATATAAGTAAAGAGATCAATGAGAAAGACACTCACCAGCCGCGAGACCGACGGCCAGCGCAGTCAGCGTGGCCTGCAGCCACAGCAGCATCCTGGAGTCGCTGCGGCCTCCTGCAACAGACAGATCTGGTTAGGGCCCGTCAACAGTGTTGTATCTGAACTATCAAGAAAACAAAATTATGACTTGTATAAGTTTACTAAATATGTCATTGTTCAATATTAACAATTTTCAGTTCAATTTTAACCGATTTACACGTTGAAATTGGATTTCAGATACGGGTTATCCTATTAATGTTCCTGGAATCGTCATTTTGTTAACGAAAGTGATATAATACTGCGCTTTTATAACATCCGCACCATAAATATTGCCACTTTATCCCGTTTCACGGAAATAGCGTATTCCTAATTAAGGATGAATGCTTCCAGAAATAACCGCGTGTTTGCGCATAGAAACTCAAAATATAATATACATTAAGCGGGAGCAACAAGAGACGCGGCTTTTAGAGACCGTGTCCAACATCGCAAGCGCTCTATAAAAGAACGCTCATAATCATGCCTAAATTGATTAGACATTGTAATAATATAAAATGTGAAAAAGTAGGCAATGAATATTATCATTGCCCTCTTCTAAGTGAAAATAAATTTAATATAAATTAAAATTATGATTTAGTTTTGTACAACGCAACAAGTCTTGCAACATAATAATGGAGAAAAGTAGGCTTTCACCATGTGAGTAGTAGGTGGGCGGGCGGGCGGCGGGCAGCCTTTGTGTGGGTGGACAAGCGGCGTGGGTGGGCGCGGTAGGTGTGTGGGAATTAGGCTGCCGGTAGCTGTTAGAGGCTCGGGCAGTGGCAGCGGGCAGGCAGGGCACGAAGCGGTAGATAAACGGGGAGTCTGCAGCGAGGCGGCCACTTGAGACACCTCTCCGCCGGGGTCGCCTTTGCTCTCCTTCACCCGGCACCACTCCGGCGCGCTCCGGTCCGCGTCCGAGCCCCGGTCCACCTCCGCGCATCAAATATTCGGGCGAGGGGAACCGCGCCGCGCTGCATGTTGCATGGCGCAGGCTGCAGGGGGCGCCGACGCCCTCCTTCTGCACCCCCCCCTCGTCCCTGCCCCGTCGCCGCCACGCCCCCTTGCACCGGGGAGGGGTGCACGCCGCCTTTGCACTTCAGGGCACGTACCGGGGTTCAAATCCCGATCGCTTGACGCGGTTCAATGTATGTTGAGCGAAGCTGGCTCGCGAGAGATTTGCTCAGGGTTTTTCAGATTCTTCTGCCCCTCGCTTCTCCATTATTCAGTGGTTGCTAATCACCTCATAATTACTTATCATCAAACCTCTCATCCATTAGAGGTATAGCCGAAGTCATATCCACGGAATCACAAAACGACAGTATCCCTGCATTGCTCACTTGTTTGTAGATCTCCTCAGCCAACCACGATTCGTCCACCGCACCCCCCACCCCATATCTCCCCGACACAACCACCATTCCCCTACCTATATCTTCATCTCCTCGTCTCGATCTGCAGCTCCCGGCCACACTCAGCGTCTTCCCATCACGACCCGAATTTCCAAGACTCGACCCGCGTCTACTCCCCGCAATCTGCCTCGTCTTGCCTCTCTGAGGCATCTTCTGCTCAACCTGAGTTTCCCTTCCGTTACGTTCCTCCCCTCCAGCTATTTCTCTCTCTCTCTCCCTCTTTTTTATTCCTTCTTTTCACACACACTTACACTAACACGCACTACACAAACACACATGCCGGGATACCGGTCGGGAGCTTGAAGCTTGTCGCGGCTGGTGCGGTGCCCCACTGGTGGGAGATACCTAGATGGGGGAGACCCTGCTAGCTGACGGTAGGTCGGCGATGGATCTCAATATACAGCGAGGAAAATGTCACCGCCACCGCCCAGGCAAATACATGCACTACACTTACGGGACTAATGACATTGTTAGTTGACGTGCCCAGAATCACTAAAACAATCAATCTCTCGTTCTTTTCCTCTATCTCTCTTTCTTTTTTCCTTATCTTCTCTCTTTTTTATCTATTTCTCTCTGTCTTTCTTCTTTTCTATCTCTTTCCGCTCTTCTCCACTTCGCCTAGTTCGAACCGTCTCACGCCGTGCCAGTTCTCTCGCTCCGGCTCCGGCATTGCGTCGCCCGGCATGTCCCGTGTCCCTGCGTTTTGCTCCGTACATCCCCGCTTCCTCTCTTTCCATTTCGACCCCGAAGAATATTTCTTCAGTCGTGCATCTTCTCCGTTTCCGTCCCCGCTTCTGTCCGTCTCCTCTCTCCACCTCCGCCTCGATCTTACCTCGTGCGCGCAGGGTGCGATGAAATGGCAGTCTGCTGAAGCTCAACTCAAACCGTTTTATTAACTATCGCCCTGAAGTTCAAATGAAAGTGTTGTTAAACGCCTAGTGCCACAATTATGAATTTTTCAGTTAACCCAACAATTTACAACTATGATGCGCAGGTCGGGACGAGGAGACGAAGATAAAGGTAGGTGAGAGGTTGGTGGTGTCGGGAAAATGTACAAAAAAGTGAGCGATGCAGGCAAAGATAACGGAATATGATGTTTCATTGGATAAGGTAATGATGAATCTGGTGAAGATGGAGTTGAAACAATATAACGATGTTGATAAGATATCGCGAGGATCTTTTTCGTTTACCACGAATTTCATATGGAATGTCAGAAATATGAACCTCCGCAAAGGGCAATTTGTTGTATTTTACTATAAAAATAACTTGCAATTATTATGATCCTGCTAGCCTACGAATATGATCCCAGTAAAAGGCAAAGCAGCAGTAAATATATACAAATTTCACTTAGCAAATGTGTGGACGATTCTCCTCATATGGAAGATGAACGTATTCAGAACAACACAAAATTGTTTTAACGCGTTTTTAAGCCGCAGTGAATGACAGCTGCAAATACAACATAAAATACTAGTTATAGCGAATTATTACAAATACTACGTAAAATTCTCCATAAAAGTACAGACATTGTCCAATTAATACGTATATTTTTTTCACTGTTCCACACCTGCGCGATTCGCACTTGTGATAGATAAATAAAGATAAAAAATCCAATTATTTTCACAACCAATATTGACATTAGTTTCGAAAACAACCTGGCCACTGCGTTGGCGTTGTTCACTTGTAAGTGAACAGACACATTCAGTTCTATTGTTTTAGGCCGCACAATAGCACAGCTTCAGTGTAACCGCACCGAGAAAGTTGGCAGGTTGTTATCACGACATGAACCCTTCCATACCCTTGCATATTTTTACTTTCGTATACAAATTATAAAAAGAAATTTAACCCTGTCGTACTCGCGTCCGATTTTGTATCGTAAGTGATCGCACGGCCCCAAGATATGAAACCCAAGATAAAAGCTAAACTTTTAGGTATTATGAGTTTCGTCAAAACTTTTTAAAGTCTGTTATTTCAAAATGCTTATTTGAATATGTCGAGAAAGTCATTAAACGTAAACGAATGGCATTTAAGCCTACCTGTGTTGTCTCTCGGACGAAAAATGTGAATAAGCGACGTCTATTACCATAGAAACATTTTTTTCTCTATTGATAATTAATGTATCATGAGTCATATAGTAGACATGAAAACAGTACAACACTATAGTACAAGACAGTAGTATATCTTTTATCGGATTTCCTGCGAGAAAAACTCTCTTTCTATCACCCATAACAACAGTGCTCCTGCGGGATAAAATTGTAATTGATTTTCAAACAACTAGATAACAGAATGGTTACCATGAAAAGCACGGAAGTAGGCAGGATGGTATGAGTCACCATTTTTCCTTGAAGCTATTGTTGTTCTCGCCACTCTCAACTAGATGTCGCTCGCCAGCAAACATAATATGGCTGGGTTGCAGCTGTAGCCCACGCGAGTACTTCAGAGAAGAAGTGACAATTATGTTGACAGAAAAGCGTTTTGTGGTCCCTGACATCGAAAAAGAAGACTTGGCTTGCTCTTATACCTACTGTGTTGTACTTTTACAATACGCATTGTTATTAAAATAAACCGTTTTGAAGTGATAAATACAAAAAAGATATCTTTAAAAAAAAATATGTCAGCAAACAACACTAGCGCCTCTTCCGGGCACAGGCACCACAACCCCTTCTCTGTCTCACTGGATATCATGTCATCGCCGATGCAGTTACGGATAATAGATTTGCAGAACTTAGTACTTCTAAAGAACAGATATTTTAATACACGTAATTTGTCAAGCTGGAATCAAAATAAACCTGTGGAAGTTTCCTCTAGTTTCATAAAATGCGGCGAAGATTAACTCTCTTTCTGGGTCGACATATTGTTGTGAGCAGCTTTTCTGTGCAATGAAAAGAATGGAAAACAAAGAAAGAATCCAACTTGAGGAAGACAAGATGTTGCGAATGCGTTAGAGTGATTGTGACACATCACATTAGAATTAAAAGATAATTATCCCTCGTGGGGAAAAGCACTGATTGTGAGAAAGAAAAAAATATTTTGTCAAAGTGTTGAATGTACCATTTACCGAATTTAGATATCTCAAACTTCAAATAACTTAAGTTACTCGCTTGAACATGAGCGTGATGGTGAAGAGGCACCACAAAATATTGAAATTCAAGTGTTAGTACTACATTTACATTAATATAATATCTTCATTGAGAAGAGTGCACAAATATTAATATACACATTTTAGATAAAGACAAATATTTAAGGAAAATACATAGGCCACAGATGAATTTTTGCATTGTATTATACGAATATATATTTCAACTCTTCAAGTGCGTATCTAAATAACTTACATTTTGATATCAGCATTTCATGTTCGGAAATATGAAGTCATTGAAAACGACTCTTTTATTTTTCACGTGACAAATAAACCTTCAAGAGCAATGGCTTGATAAAAGTCTTTTTGGGTAAATGTGCATGGTAAATTCCACGCTTTCCACTCCCAGTTTCTGGAAATGTAATAAAAAAACATAGCCTTTAGAGTACACTGACTTCTAACGATGTAAGTACAAAGTGCCTTGGAAATAAATGCTATAAAACAGAAAAGTAAGTGGAGTTCTAACTTCTGATCCTAAGGTTTACCTGTACAATCAAAATACAAAGAGAGAAAAGAAGTTAGAATTTATTTATAAAAATCTCTTGGAGTTCAAAAAGTCAATATTTAGGGAAATTAACAAATGGAATACCATTCTTTCGATAAATCTTCCAATTTATCCGATTTCGTGATAAACATGTATGACAATTTCAAGGATTTATCCTCTTCAAATTTAAAATTACATTAGAATTAACAACGCTATAAAAGTAAATAACTGTTGTCCATGACACATCAAAAACTTTATTTCACAAAATATCGATAAATATAAAGGATAAATACAAAAATAGGAAAACGTGTCAAAGCATTAATAAGCAATTGATTGATTCATGCGGAATGAAGTTGATATGTGAATGGAAAGTCGATATAAAGTAGAACCTTCTAAATACGATATGCAATTACGGACACTCATTCTATTCGGGGGCTCGTTTGAAAAGTGAAAAATCGTATAACTGACCAGTGTTTTAGGGAATAATGCACAAAATTGGCATTAACCGGGTATGATGTTCAACGATGTGGAGCTGTTTGAGTAACGAGTTCGTAATTTGGTTATTTATGTCATCATGAGCTAAAATTGTAGTACTTAATAATCAAACATAAAACCATTAGCTGCCAATACTGGAAACAGATTTCTTTGTGGTATCTGATAGAGGAATACCTAAACAATTCGGTTTCAAAACACTACGTGACAAATACAGAAAGCGCAACGGTACGTCCTGCAAAATAATTTGGGGAGTTTATTTTTCTCAAAACAATGTGAAGAATAGACAAATTTACGTTTTTCGTGAATGGAATTTTATTTTCAGTTACAACTCTCAAAATCTGATCAAACTCTATTTACGCGATCTTGGAATAGCATTAAAACCAGAACGAAATGGTTTACCTTACTTGTTTGTCAACATCTGA